TACTCGTGTGCAGTTTGCAAACTCAGCACAAACAGTAGGAAGAAAACCTATCAATTGAGGCTGTGCACAAACCTCATCCAGATAAACTGTTCATACTGGCATAACTGAGATTACAGTAATGAGAAAACTAATTGCTAGAATCCGATGTTTCCCTGTAACAAATCCAGATGGGTCTTCCTTTAACTTTAGTCCTTTTCAGACACAGCGAGAATGAAGCATTTATTAATGGTCAAAATAGAGAGCTGCCTTGTACTACGCAAAACCAAACATCTCCATTCAGTGTATTTCAGTGGCAAATTCACTCCCCTGCTGTTTCAGTGAATGGTACGTTATATTCAGCCAACACTAAGTCACATTATAGCAGACAACATTCAATGTAGAAAACCTGAAAGAATTTACTTGTATGGCAGAGCTCAAAAGTATTTTTCTATTTCAACAGATTTACTCTTGCAGCTTATGCAGAGGTAGAACAAGTTATTTATCTTTTTATTTTGAGAGAACTGCTGAAGTCAATATTCTCAGATTTCAAGGGAGAGTGGGTACCAAAGGTAAGCAGCCTGGCTTGACTTAGGCTGAGAATCTGAGACCATTACTGGCTTTAGCCATCCCCCATCTCCTGCTGGAGAACTGATAAATTATGCTCCCTGGCTTCCCAAATACTCCCCCTCTCCCGTGACAATGGTAAGACAAAGAATGTATATTTCATTCATTTCAGTGCTCTCCAGGGTCTAGCAGACACTTAACAGCTTCATAGCAGTTGAGAAACAGGAGCTTGAAATTACTTTGTACTTGTAATCCAGCTAACCTGGATTTTTCTGTTTATTAGGTGTCTTGATGGTTTGTTTGAGTTTTCAGCATAGCTGAGTTTCAGTACAATCGGGCCATTACTCAGTGGGAACTGCAAATGTACATGACTGTTTATGTACTCTAAAGCAAAGTAGCTGGAGCATTCCCCTCCTACCTCTTGAGAGTATGTCATCTTAAGAAGCATCCGTGCTTTCAGTGCATCACAAGCTAGCACATTGCTTGGCACGGGGAAATGAGATCACAACCAGCAACTTAGCAACTTTCTTACCTATTTCTAGTGCAAGTGAAAAATCTTCTGGTTCTTCCAAGCATGTATATTAGTTACTAAGAAAGATAACAAGGTGGTCTTGGTACTATTTACATTCCCCGCCCCTCCCCTCCCCCCCCATATGCGACAGTGATGTTGAGCACGAAAACAGGCTGATGTCACAATGGGAATGTTTTTTTCCTGCTATGTTTAAGATGTATTGTGATAGATGTCATGATTTCAGTCTATTTTGAAAGAATGTGATGATGGAAGAAACTGTAGACAAGTATTTTAACTCCCTAGCTTATTTCACCCTTGTTTTTTTAAACTGAATTTTTGCTTTTCACAATCCCACTTCAGCATACTGAAAGAGGCTGCAGAGTGGGATTCCTGTAAGAAACTAATCCTGTTATTACTGTGGTGTCAAATACAACGCAAAATCTAATCCCAGTGGGGTTACCCCCTGCCACAGTACATTACTGATGGGCAGGAGCATACAAGAGTAGATAAACTGGTCCTTTATATATAACAATTTATCTACCATTTTCTACAGCAGCATCCAACACGCTTGACTTTGTTCTCAAATCTTCAGATGAGAATTATTTTTTTTTAAGTAAGTGACCAGATACTCTGCTTGTTGGTGCTGCTTGGCAGTCTTATTCTCTTCTTCCCCAACACTCAGTGTCTTCTTTGTACATAGTGTGAAGTAGTATTATGCTTTTCAACAGTACTTAACTGTTGGATCAGCTCAGACAGCTCACAAAACTTCACCTTACTATTCACTTAGTGAGTAGCCATGCCAAGAAATGAGTTGTACCTTTCTGGCCATGCCTCAACTTGGTATCAGTAGCAGGCAGTCCAGTGGTTATATTGCCTATTCCATGATTAGAAAAGACACAGCATGCTCCATCCCTGGCAGTCTTCAAGGCCAGGTTGGCCAGACTCTTGGGCGACATAGTCTAGTGTGAGGCATCCCTGCCCATGGCAGCGGGCTGGAACTAGACGAACTTTCCAACCTGAACCATTCTATGATTCATGGCTCCACAAGCCAAGCAGAAGTCAGGCAAGTACCTCACTTGCTCTGTACTCCTGGCAAATGGCTGAGGGCTCATACATCTCAATTGACTGAGGCTAGGCTTGCTTAACAGATATGCTTTAAAAAAACCTATTTCCACCCCTGGAAATACTAGGCGTCTGGATTCCACTCTTTATCCCCACTCTCCTGCAGAAAACAGCCAATATAACTGACTTTTTAATTTACTCCTACACCGTAGCAGGGATGACCAAACTGCCCTGGTACCTATCCTTCATGCAAGAAGCATCAGTCTGCCAGAGGCAAAGCATGCATGGAATGACAGATTTTTTTTCTGACATACTTCCTGCAATCATGCAATTTTTTTATGGCTTTACTTGAAAATGCTGCTGCTGAACCTCGTGTTTAAGGTAGCCAAGTTTGGCCAAATGTTTGCTTTCCCTTAGCAGAACTGGAGAAAGTCCCGAACATCCTGCTGTCATCCTTTACTGGAAAGGAGCCAAGCAGCAAACTGGAGAGTAATTTTTCACCTGGCCGCTAGAGCAGACTAGGTTACTAGAGAACCAGTCTACTAGGATGTTACATTTCCAAGAGCCTACAAGCCTCTTTCTTACTGCACTTCTGAAGTCGGATAGTTAGAGACAGCTTTCCAGATTCTTCTTTCTAACCACCATTTAGATGCTGCAGCACTTTTTCCCTTTCCAGTGTATTGTCAGCTGCTCAGTTAAGCAACAGTGCTGCTTCATGAATAGTTGGCGATTCATGAATAGTTACTCAAGTAAAAGGCAACTAAAGGAATCACACAGAGAATAGAAATTCAACTACTATGCACTGGAGATTTTGACTAGTGGCTTATTTCAGGGTTAAAAAAACCCCAACCAACTTGTAGCGGGGTGATAAGGAGAAAAGAGAGATGATGACCAAGTCCTGTCTTTTAAAGTGCTCTACAGAATGTATTTTTATAGCAGCGGAAGGCCAAGTCTGGCTCCAGAAGTATAAAAGGAACATTTATGTGTATTTTCCAATTCTGTGAAAACTTCTGAAAAATTACTGAGATGACGACATAGGTGTAATTAAAAAAAATAAAAAAAAATGTGATTTAAAGTTAGAACTTGTTTACCTCCCACTTTCCAAAAAACATTATCTTCACAAAGTCCCTTTCATAAAGGAGAATAATTTATTACTATCCACTTTAAAGTACCTTCTTCCCATTTTCTGGTCTAACATAAGGAATTCATACTTTGTACTCATTTACTGGTCTTAGTTTGCACAGTTGTTATGCTAGAGCCAAAACTGAGAAAGAGGAAGATTTATTTCACCAAACCAAACTTTAGGCTACCTTTGAAGGAAGAGCTGTGTTATGTTCCGAGCTCCTGGTTACTACATGTTCCTTGCACTTTTCAT